CCTGGGTGGATCAGTCAGTTAAGCATCCAAGTCTTGGTTTCAGTTCAAATCATGATCTCACAGTTCATGAGTTTGAGCCCTGTATCAGGCTCCATGTTGACAGTGCAGAACCTGCTTGGGATTCTCTCTCTCTCTCTCTCTCTCTCTCTCTCTCTCTCTCTCTCCCTCCTCCCCTCCCACGTGCTCTCTCTCCCTCTCTCAAAATAAATAAATAAACCTAAAAAATAAATAAATAAAGGAAATGTGAAATCTTGGCCAAGAAACTGAAGGACTTTATGACTACAGGTAGTGTTTTGTTATTTTTCTTGCTGTAGGTAGAACTTTAGGGAGGGGACAGTCTGGGATGAAATTCTGTTGAATTTGTATTTCTGGAGCATGGCTCCTGATACTAGAAAGAAAGGCCTTTGTTAGGCCTGAAATATTTCTTTTTTTCTTTTCTTTTCTTTTCTTTTCTTTTTCTTTTAGAGAGAGAGTATGCATGAGCAGGGAAGAGGGGCAGAAGAAGAGAGGAAGACAATCTTTTTTTTTTTCTTGGAGAGAGACAAAGCATGTGCATGTGTGTGTGTGCAAGCCAGGGAGGGGCAAAGGGAGAGAGAAAGAGAGGGGGAGGGGTGGGGTGGGGAGAGGATCTTAAGCAGTCTCCAAATTCAGTGCGGAGCCTGACACAGGGCTCGATCCCACAACTCTGGGATCATGACCTGAGCCGAAATCAAGAGTCAAACACTCAAATGACTGAGCCACACAGGTGCCCTGTGGATTTAAGTATTTCTTAAGAGGCCTGGGAAAAATGTGATTACCCTTAGCTAACAGACTTTATGAAGAGGACCTTCGACTGAAATCTAGCATTTCTTTTTGATTTTTAGAATTTTCATCTCTCTGCTCACATTATCCGTGTTGTCAATTTTTTACATTAAAATTAATGGAAATTTAATTTAGAATATTAATCATAGTGTTTTATTTGCTAATTCCTGGTGTGATAATTCCAACATCCATGCTATATCTGACTCTAGTTCTAATATTTACTCACTCTTTTAAAACTGTGTTTTTTGCCTTTTAGTATGCCTTGTAATTTTTGGTTAGAAGGTAAACATGAGGTACTGGGTGAAAGGCCTCTTTACTCCAGTAAAGAGTAATGTAGTGGTAATGTACTCCAGTAAAGAGTAATGTGAGGAAGCATTCTGTAGTCTCATGGTTAGGTCTCAGTCTTTGGGTAAGCCTATCTCCCTACATTGTTAACTTCACCAGTGCCTCTTAATTTTGTTTTGTCTGTTTTCTTTCCCCTCAGGTGGGACAAGGTGGCTAGAGCTGGGATATTTCTCTTCCCCCATGTGGAAGGCTAAAGCTAGCTATAGTTGGGCATTTCCCTCCCCCTCCAGATCGGTAGGCTCTGATAAGACCCCAGCAGGTTAAACTCTGATAAAATAGTTTCTCCTGAGGGCAGGCCTTGCTGAGAGCAGAATGCTCTGGTGTGTTTCAAGATGGTACCTTTCCCCCTTCCTGCTGCTGAAAGCAAGAGGAGATTTTTCTACAGCATTCACTATAAGGACCTGACAGAGCTCTTGAGTAAAACTAGCAAAGATGTGAATATTCTCCAAAATCTGGGTCCCCCTGGAATGGTTAACTCTCAGAGTTGTCCACACTGAGCCTTTGGCAATTTGTCAATACATTTGGGTTTTCCTACCCTGGTGCTGGTTCCCAAGGAGGCTTATGTTCAGTAAATTATAATCCACCTCCCTTCTTCTTCTCCTCTCTCTCTCTCTCTCTCTCTCTCTGCAATTTGGGGGGCAGTGCTTTGTCCTGTGACCTCACATCTTTGATGGTTCTAAGAAGAGTTGTTGATTTTTCATTTTGTTCAGTGTTTTATTTGTTATTAGGAAAAAATGGTGACTTCTGAATTCCTCATGTGCCATACCAGACACAAAAAATCTGTTTTGTTTCATTGTTTTTTTTTTTTTTAAGTCAAATTTAGGGAAAAATTGGTTAATATTTCTCCACATTTTTTCTGTTCCTGTACTCTCTTCTCTCCTTTTGTGATCCTAATTATATTTAATACTCTCTCATGAGTCATTGAGTCTCTGTTAACTTTTCTAAAAATCTTTTTTCTCTTTGTGCTTCAGTTTGAGTTATTGTCTTGACCTGTCTTCAGGTTAACTAATTCTTTCTTCTGTTATGGCCAATCTTCCGTTAATCTCAGCTACTGAATTTTTTCTTTCAGGTATTATCCTTTTCATCTCCAGGATTTCCATCTGATGCTTTTTCACAGTATTCACAGATCTCCTGAAATTCCCCGTCTCACCACCATTATGTCAGTTCCACTACATTCTTTAACATGTTTATCGCAGATACTTTAAGTTTGTATTTAAATTCCAGTTAATTAGTGTCCAGTGTAATATTAGTTTCAGGTGTACAATATAGTGATTCAACACTTACAAACAACACCTGGTGCTCATCCAGACAAGTGCCCTCCTAATCCCCATCACCTATTTCACCCATCCCCCCACTCCCTTCTGGCAGCCATCAGTCTCTTCCCTATAATTGAGTCTGTTTCTTGCTTTGCCCCCTCCACCTCTCTCTTTTTTTCCCTTTTGCTCATTTGTTTTGTTTCCTAAATTCTACATATGAGTGAAATCATAAGACATTTGTCTTTCTCTGACTTAGCATTATAGTCCCTAGCTCCATTCATGTCATTGCAAATGGCAAGATTTCATTCTTTTTTATGGCTGAATAATATTCCATTGTATGCATACACCACATCTTCTTTATCCATTCATCAATCAGTGGACACTCGGGCTATTTCCATAATTTGGCTATTGTAGATAATGCTGCTGTAAATATCAGAGTATATATATCCCTTTGAATTAGCATTTTTGTATTCTTTGGGTAAATAGTAGTGCAATTGCTGGATCATAGGGTAGTTCTATTTTTAAATTTCTGGGGAACCTCCATACTGTTTTCCACAGTGGCTGTCCCAGTTTGCATTCCTACCAATAGTGTGAGGAGGTTCCCCTTTCTCTGCATCCTCACCAACACCTGTTGTTTCTTGTGTTGCTGATTTTAGCCATTCTGATAGGCATGAGGTGGATATCATTGTAGTTTTTATTTGGATTTCCCTGATGATAAATATCACAGATATTTTATTTTTTATTTATTTTTTTGAGAAGATGCCTGTTTTCTTTTAATGTTTATTTATTTTTGAGAGAGAAAGAGCACAAGCAGGGGTGGGACAGGAAGAGAGACCCAGAATGTGACACAGGCTTCAGGCTCTGAACTGTCAGCACAGAGCCCAATGCGGGGGGCTCAAACCCACAAACCACAAAATTATGACCAGA